TAGATGATGGGCGTAGCCACTACTACTATGTCTAAGGATGAGCCCATAGTACCCCCATTAGCACCATGCCCACCTACAGTAATTACCACCACATTTCAGAGTCAGTCAGCATAGTTGTCAGCATGACAGATTCAGGACTTGATAGCTCAAAAGGTTGAGCAGACGATTTCCTCCATGAAAGTTGGAGAGGTTATTAGTATAAGAAAACCCTACCCTGTTGAGTACAAAAGGGAGCCCTACCCTCTTGGCTTCGTTTCCCCATGTTTTAAAGTTTTCGAAGAGTTTGGGAACCCGAGGCAGCACGTGGCTCAATACCAGGCTGTGTGTTGCAACATAGGGGGAAACAATGTACTGATGTTGAGACTCTTTATTAGCAGCCTAGTTGGGGTGGCCTTTGCTTGGTACGCCGACCTCCCCAATGACTTAGTCCGGACCTTTGCACATTTATAGTAGCTTTTTATTTAGAGGTTTGTCAGTGCAGAGCACTGGGTCATAGTTGGAGAGTTAGTTGTGACTAGACAGCATCCTCGAGAGAGTCTCATGGATTATTAGTTAAGTGGAGGAACCTTAGCCTGTAGTGTGAGCCTCAATTATAGAAGTAACATGCAGTGGAGATCCTATTAAAGAATATTGATTGTCTAATAGCACCCTACCTTAAGAGTTTCAGTATTAGAACCTTCCAGAAGTTGCTGACGAAGGTTATTAGCCAGAATATATTGAATGCACGTCATGGTCGAGAGGTAGAATTTCTTTAGGAGTATATTTATACCCTTAGGGACAATGCGGGAGTTGAAAATAAAGTTATTGATGCTCTTAGTCATCGTATGATGACAACCACTGAAATGAGAACCGAAGTCATAGGATTTGAGCAAATTAAAAAGGACTATCTGAATTGCCCCGACTTCAAGGAGACTTACTCTCTTTTGTCTATAGGTAGCACACACCTTGGGGGTGATTTTCTTCTAGAAGATGGATATCTTTTCAAAGCTCAAAATCTTTGTATTCCTAGCACTTCTCTTTTAGAATTCAGTATTTGGGAACTCCATGTCGGAGGACTTGCTGGACACTTTGGTTGTGATAAGACTATAAAAGCTATAAAGTACCACTTCTTCTGGCTCAGCCTGAAGAAGGATATTGGTAAAATGGTTAGTAGGTACTACACTTTCCAATTGACCAAGCAATATAAAGAAAACATCAGTCTCTGCACTCCTCTAAATGTTCCCAACTGCCCGTGGCAAGATGTTAGCATGGACTTTGTCTTAGGCTTGCCCAAGACCTTTCGTAGGAATGACACCATCTGTGTTGTAGTTGATCGCTTTTCTAAAATAGCCCATTTCCTAACCTGTTCCAAGACATCTGATGCTTCCCATATTGCCAAACTTTACTTCAATGGGGTCGTCATATTACATGGTTTGCCTAAAATATTGTATCTGATAGGGATGTCAAGTTCACTAGTTATTTCTAAAAAACCCTCTGGATGAAAATGAGCACTGATCTACAATTTTCAACAGCCTTTCATCCTCAAACTGATGGCCAAACTGAAGTGGTCAATAGGAGTCTAGGTAACTTGTTAAGATCTCTTGTAGGTGAACACATTAAAGATTGAGATTTCAAACTCCCTATAATCGAATTTGCCTATAATAATTCTGTGAATCACACCACTTTCTTAAGTTATTTATGGGTTAAAACCTAGATAGCCTCTAGATCTCATACACATGTGTTCTAAGTAGGATTTATGAGTCTGCATCCTCATTTGTATCGCATTTGCATGAACTGCATAAGAAAATTGCACTCCAAATTGAATAGAGCAATATTAGCTATAAACTTCATATTGATTTTAAATGAAGATTTAAAACTTTTGAGGTAGGTGATTTAGTGATGGTGTGGATTCGTCTGGAAAAGGTTTCCACAAGAAATTGTTAAGAAGTTACATGCTAAAAGTGTAGGACCTTTCAAAATAGTCAAAAGAATCAATAAGAATGCTTATGTGGTGGATCTGCCTGCAGAGTTCAACATTAATGTCTCTTTTAACGTAGAAGATTTAGTAGCCTATGAGGGTCCATAGTTTAACCCACCAAATCCACTTCAAAATGAGCCTTGTGTGACCCCGCCTCATGAGAACTCAAGCCTACGTCCACTCCAAAATATTTCCAAAATACATATGGCGGAGAAGGATGACATGATCCTAAATGATGATATTATTTTCGCAAAAGAGGGTGGATGAAGAAGGTATTTAATAAGGCGGAGAGGAAAGCTCGAGTCAAAGGACACCTGGTTAGAGCGTGAGGAGCTTCAGCAGATTGACCGAGACGCATTAGAGTTTTATGAGAGCACTTGGGATACGTACTCGACGGAGTCGATCTCTTTTTCACCCTGGGAGAATGATGAGGACATCCGACCTTGGAGAGTCTACCAGAGACGGGGCTGACATTCGACGGCCACGATTACTCCACTTTATTTTTAAGTTATACATTCTATTTGATTTATTATTTTTTCTTTTCTAATTTTACCCTCACTTGAGGGAGTGGATGTTTATGACCCCAAGGGGTACTATTGTTTTTTGTTTTGTCTTTGTATTTGGGGACTACTCTTATGCTTATGCCGGTGAATAAAGATGATTATGAAAAATTCAATAATTGAGTTCTTGTTAGAGTTTCAGAGTTTTTGGAGAGAAATCTCTAGGCGAGGGAATTGAATCACCCACCAATTGCAGGAAGCATTCGGGCTCGTGGTTACCTTCTCTTTCCTTCCTCCCCTCCCCTTCCGCCTTTAAGTCGTCGTCCTCCCTACTAAATCCCCTCCCTAATAGACGAACAAACCCCTACTTCCCCTTCTCGGTCAAATCAACACCACCCTCCCCCAAGTCAAGCCGGCCGACCCTCCCCTTGCTCTACACATTCATTACTTTCCTAATTTAGTTTTCTATTAATTTGGAAAGTATTCAAATTTGAATTCAAAGGAATTTGAAATTCAAAAACCTTTCCTAAATTAGCAAGGCCTATTTTATGATCCTTCCCAATCAATTCAAAATCTAAAATAAATTGAAATTAATTCAAATTTAAACATTCAATCTATTTGGACACAATCATTGAATGTGGACAACTCCCCCTCCTCTCTTTTGAAAGGCCCCATACCCTCTCTCCTATCTTATTAATTCCTCCAATCAAATCTCCAATCAAACCCTTGCATAGGCCGACCCCTCTCTCCAATTAAAATATTCCACAATATTTCCATCCCCTTAATCTCTCCCTTCATTAGGAATTTAATTTACATTAATCCCTATACTTCCTCCCTCTCCTATAGTTGAAGTCCCTCTAATGCCATCCCCTTTTCTCTTTTGACTCGTTCTCCACCAACTTCTCCAATTAATTCCCCAAATCATTAGGAGATGTTTTTCTCCTCCCCATGGCCGACAACATCAAACCCTAGCCTCCTAAACCAGCTCCCAACTGCTGTCCAGATTTATGGATCAAGGGATTGCTATCCAGAACACCCTGACTAGCAAAATTGCTGCCCAAACCCTCTCGTGCTTGCTGTCCAGCAATAACTCAAGTGCTGTCCAGAAATTCCTGCACTCCTCCTTGTTGTCCAGTTGATTCGAGAAGTCTTTGTTCTCTGTCCAAAGGTTTCCTAGCCTCAAGTTGCTACCCCGGAATGTATGGCGAATCCTGAACAATATCACAAATTTGTTTACGATGACCAATGCCAGGTCGACATCCTCAATTCAATGTTCTTCAACCTCAACTTAGAGATTGACCAAATGATAGAAGAATACATAGAGACGATCATTTTCACTCTGGTCGAAGCCATCGACAACCAACTTTCCTCCATGTAGTGGCAGATCATTTCATGTATGCTTTGCTTGAGTAATTGACTATTCTATGATTTTAACTTCTAGTTGTTTGACTTGGCCTAAACTAGTCTCATCTCTTTCTTGTTTTATTTCATCGTTTAATAACTACAAGTATTTTAGTTAATAAAGCCCTCTAAATTAAATTGTGCAATATTCTTTTCTAACATCACTTAGGCATTTAAATCATGCATCACATGACGAGCCGAGAGCATGAAGTGTTTTAGATTTTTCTAGCATTATCGAGAAGATAAGAATATGATGTAAAAGACTTAGAAAGATTATAAAAAATGATTATGTAAGGTTCAAAGGAGGAAAATAAATTAATGATCAAGTCATTAAGAGAAAGTTTGTCAAAAGTCTATGATAAGAGAGATTATTCTGTGCGGCGTCCGGAGGCCAATCCGGATGTGTCATATCATCCAATGTATTATGCAATGAGTGATGTGACACATCCGAACACCGCACCTAATAATTTTTCCTATGATAGAAAGCGAAGAGCATCAATTAGGAGTTCTAAGTATGAATTTTTTAAGCCTACTTAAATTAATCTGCAGAGGAATATACTCAATCTGATAAATAATCATTTTATCCTTAATTACTGATAGATTAATAGATGATTATAATATAAAAGAAATAACTAAATCTAGTAATGCTAACTAAATCTAATAATATATACAAAATGAGCATATACATGAAAAGGTTGGAGTACCTCCAGTAGAAGATAAGATTAGAGAGAGTCGCCTTAGATGGTTTGGTCACATAAAACAGCGACATTCCGATGACCCGGTTAGAAGAGTAAAGGTATTAGATTTGACTTATGTTAAGAAAGGTAGAGGTAGACCTAAAAAGACTTGGTTAAAAAATATTAGAAATGACCTTTCTTTATTAGATTTAAACGAGAATTTGACTTTTAATAGGACACAATGGAGAAAAATGATTCATGTAGCCGACCCCACGTAGTGGGATAAAGGCTTGTTGTTGTTGTTGTTGTTGTAGTAATGCTAACACAAATAAGACTCAAAGCTAATGACCAAAAGTAAGCATCTCGTACCGTTGATCGTACTGTTGAGCTGCAAATAACACAAATAAGTTGAAACTAAACTCCACATTCTCCATTTCAAAATATAGCAATAGCCATATCAAATAATAATTCATCTCTAACCGAACTCTATTTCTAACAGCAAAACAAAATATTCCATGTAAATTTTTTTTCATCTTCTCATTTCATTGCTGAAGAGAAGACTGATCACTCTCATGTAACCAAAGTTATAACAGTCTAATGCTTCCCAGTAGACCATCTGCTAGCTACAAAGTGGAATAAGTCTTATATTTCTCCTTGGCAAAAACCTCATTGAACTAAAAATCATGAGGCGCAACCAGTTACTAACTTGAAATATAGAAGGATTTCAGTACAATCTAATGACTATAATCACAACAATGGGATTACTCCCCATTTTGGTCTTACAGACTAAACACTCACATAAGAGCTAAACAAAAATGCTATGGTATCCTTGCCTTATGTACATCATCGCCGAAATGGTCGAGGTGGCACTGAAGAATCCAAGATGAATGCCCGTTTCTCTCGGTGAATTCTAGTTTGCAGAGTAGACAACAAGGACTTTGTACATGAAATGCCATTACCATGAGAGCTTTCTGGCATATAGAAAGGACCAAAGATAGAAGAAATAGTATCGAGACCAGATGAGTCCCCATGATCAACAGTACTGATTGAATCTCTGGTGCTCTCGGTGGTAAAGGATGAATCATCTGAGCTTGTAAAGAGGGACAATTCACTTGATGTAGCATCAGAGAAGTCTGTGCTGACCAGATTTGCAGAAGCTTTTTCTCTTTGAAATAAGTATCTCCCATTCCTGTTACAGTCATCGCGTTGTTTTTCGGGCCTCAAGTAAGTATCACCATTTACTGAGCTAGAGTGTGGATGGCCAATTACAGTTTCCTTGTGTTGCCCATGCCTTGAAGATATCATAAACTTCCATGAATCATGCTGAAGATGGGGAGCTTGAAATAATGGCCTCTCTATGTAAGCACTTGGAGGGCGTGGGAAACACCTGAAATAGCATTTGATGACTGTCACTAACCTTTGCCAAATGCTATTTTGAGCTTCTATGGTAAGGTAATCAATGAAAGCTCTGATTTCATCTCGAAGATATAGAGAAAATATATACATATATGGAATCTGGTGATTGTACCTTGAGTAAAATAGCATATATGCACCTTCAGACATGACCTGACTCAAGGGAACAACCTGCACCTACACAGTGTGAATTTATGTAAGATGTTCAAGTCTTTTCCAAAAGAAAAGAAGAAAAAAAAAGGCATGTTTAACCTTGATGAAAGGAAACTATATGGAGGCATTCAAAAAATGTACACCAAAATCTCTTTAATTGGTATTGCCATCAGAATGACATTCAAAAAATGTTCAACATCATAAGATTGCAAACGGTAAAGTGATAATGGGCTTTTTAAATTACCTCAGAGTCATCAATTCGAAACCACGTTCCTTGAATGTCTTTCACATAAGATACATAATGACCGGAGAAAGAAGTATTTTGGGTATCCAAATGCACAACAACAGCATACAGCATGTAAAGTGGGGGACTATCAGCACTCCCAGTTACAAATGGAATCATATCCAACAAATCTGGAAATGTGACACATTTGCTGATTTTCCCATATTTTCCTGTCTGATCAAACAACAAACAAAGTAGATGGCGGAGTCGTTAACATGTAGAAAAAATCCAAAAGTTTGTTACAGATACCTAGAAACTTGTAGGGAAGAGAATAGATAAGTGTTGAATTATTGCGGTCGGGAAGTAAGAACATAACTAGAGCTCTTCTGCAATTATTTCCTTTTGACATAATATAAACTCCAGATTTTGTTAGTTAATTTTGATTTGATTGCCTTACATAAATGCATTTTCAATTATTTTGCCCGTAGTGAACTTTCTATCACAAATAGTTCGCCGATGAATAGAAGTTTGTATTGTCAGCACATAATAAAGAAGAATAACCTTTATATGAAAATATATTATAATGACAAATAGTATAGACTTCTAATAAATGTTAAGCATATGTGAAGATCTTAAGATGATAGTATAATAATTTTAATAACTCTATCAAAGGAGAGTTTGTCAAATGATCCAATTTAATTTGATACAGGATAACTGATTTATATAAATGAAAAACTCAGCACTTTCAAATTGTATTAAAATTTATGCAAAAGAAAGAAGAATCTTTAGAATTAACACTTTGTTATACTTTATTAAAGACGAGTTTCCAAATAAGTGAAGCACAAGAATTGCTGTTCCTCCTAGTTCCTTCACAATTCCTAATCCTACATTTGGAACAATATTGCTTATGTAAACCTGAGCTCTCTCTAGGGAAAACTTATACTGTAAGAATGTCACATTCCAAAATAACCAGTATATCCAGCCTAAAAAGGAAAAATATGTTTGTATTGATTCCTGTACAAATCAATGGAACTTGAAAATCTGACCTGTCAACAGAAAGTTGAGTTTCCATTGAACCAGCTATTCATTCATACAAGTAAACAAACAAAGAGAATCTGTGCTCACGTGAGTTGAAAAGAGCATCCCTATTTGCATAGAAAATTTTTGTTTTTTTAAGGCATAAGCGTCTCGAAAAGCATCATTGCTGATGAGTAGACAACCAAAAAATTATCCCACATACCATCATGTAAATCCCTTTAGTGGATGTAAAGGCTGTAAGGGAACTACCACAATGTCCAAGGATAGATAAGACTTGGAAGAGACAGAATCTCCAATGATGTATAAGACTGGAAGCAAGAAAGAGGTTTCATGTCTCAATCATATACATACACTCTAACTCAGTTGTGCAGTTCCAACGAAAAAGTTACTAACAGCCAGCCACTTTGCCTAGGGCTCTCAACTAGGATGGCCTAGCCCTGATATAATCTCAGCCGCATAGACGTAATATTATAAGGACTGACATAACCCAATCCAATTAACATTATCCTATAAACGAGATTGAAGAGATGTATGTCTTATATGCGTTAGAAATCATAAATGACCCAATTTTTTATTTGATTAACCGTAATGCTAGTAGAAATATGCTAATATAAAGTTAAGAGAAAAGAGCAATAAGAAAAACACAATAGATAAGAATATTGTCAATAATAAGGAAATATAACACTAATAAATACTATAGATTCTTAATAAATACTAAGCCTATATAATGATATTAATATGATAATACGATTATTCTATTAACTTTAATATCTCCACACAAACTCAGAAAGCTCTAGCCAAGAGTTTGTAGATTGCAAGAAGAATAACGAGATATAAACAAAGAAATGTTCAACAACCTTCCAAAAATATTGATCCATTGATTGATGATAGAACTAGAATTCTCAAGGGAATCAAGAATAGCCAAAAGATTGGCATTAGCCCCACTAGTGCCAAGACTAAAGATGAAAAAATCATCATAGGATATCAAGATAGAAATGAGAACAAGGTGTTGTATGCCAAGTGGAGACAAGACTTTAGCTTGAGAGCTAGTGCTATTTAGATGAAGATGAAGATTTAAAAGCAAGGAGTCATGCAGAAAGCAAAAGCATTAGAGTCTTAAAATGATATGTAGCCATTTGAACTTGGGTGATGAAGGCTTTGAAGCACTAGAGAAGTCGGGTGAGTCAACACAGATGTCGGAAAGGAGGAATATATTGGGCAATGCAAATGTCAAGCAAGTCGACATAGATATAAGGTGAATTAAGATAAGGAAACAAAAGCTGTGAGCCAGCAAAGATAAGTTGTTGTTATTTGTTAGGTGAGTCAAGAACAAAGAACGAAAATGCTAGAAGACAAAAAGAGATGACATTGGATACGCAAGAAGTAGAAGAGCTAAGATTCAAAATTGATGCTTCTTAGAATGAGATTGGTGCTAACCAAGAAAGACGACAATGTTGATGCTTCTTAGAATGAGATTGGTGCTAACCAAGAAAGACGACAATGTTGATGACTAACTAAAGTTGTCAAGAACTAACCAACTCTGATACTATGTTAGAAATCATAAAGGACTACGCTTTGCTTGATCAATCCTAATGCTAGTGTAAATATGGCTATATAAAAGAAAAAGGAAAGAGCAATAAAGAAAATATAATAAAAGGAGAATAGCCTCAATAATAATGATATAATATAAATAAAAAAAATATTATGGATTCCTAATAAATACTAAGCATATATAATAATATAATAACTCCATTAACTCTAATGATTTGGTGTGTCCCGTTTAAGCCCAATAAATTCCAATAAGCTATCTTACTCAACTTTCACGGTTCCCACCAATGTCTCATCACTCTTAGCCAAAATACAAAGGATAAGTTCAAAGAGTTAGGGTAAGAAGTGACACCCTATAAAAGCCACGTAAAAATGTCATATTATCACATGCGTTAGGCTTAATTCATCATAGGAGGTCCACTGCCTTTTCTATAGAAGAAGAGCAAAAATTGATTGCATTCTCTCACCCTTAAATCTTTGTGCATTTTTGTTGCAGGTAAGTGCACACATGCATCATAAATGAAGCTTCATTCTTTTACGTTCACATTTTATCATGTCATTTTTTCTTTGATCTCATATTATGTCTTCTAGATTTGTAATTTAAAGAAAAAATAATGCAATGTTCTTGGACTATAGCTTAAAATTATGATCTACGTTGAACTTCATGGGTGATTATAATTACATGCCAAAACTTTTTATTGTTGTCAAAATAGAATGATAGAGAATGGAACATCCTTTGATCTTTAATGGACCAAGTTACTCCTACTATTAGAAGGAATAAAGAGTAATTAAATAGTCATATGGTTCAAAAAAAATTATATAAATTATTTTTAACTTTTTGTTATGATTACATATTCGCATTTATGTTTATATTTGTATTTGATTTCCTTTGTAAGGTCATGTAACTAATATGATGAGTGATATTCTTTCAAGCAAAAAACTAATTTAATAATTCACAAATTACTAGCTACTTATCTTAAATTGTAAAATAATCCTCAAACTATTCATTTGCAGTTAATTTAGTCCCATAGTATCACATTTCTCCAATTTAATTAATCAACGGTACAAAATTTATCCAAGATGGTTGAGATCAATTTTGTATCACAATGTCTACATATGAGACCAATTTGGATCAATATTTTATAATCAACAATAACAACAACAAGCCATTATCTCACTACCTGGGGTCGGCTACATGAATCTTTTTTTTTTTTCATTGTATTTTATTAAGAGTCAAATTCTCACTTAAATCTAACTGAAAATATCATTTTTAATACTTTCTAACTTAGTCTTTTTAGGTCTACCTTACCTTTCTAACATAGGTCAAATTTAATACATCTTCTTACCTAACAGAGCCATGAAAAAATCAATGTTTTATGAGACCAAACAATCTAAGGCAACCCTCTCCAATATTATCTTTCACTGGAGCTACTCAGCTAAGGGTGTCAATTCGGGTCAACGGGTCAGGTTCGGGTCGAACCCGGAACTAACCCGGCAATATTCGGGTCAACCCGAACCCGACACGTTTTTAAAAACAGGTCAGGTTTTCAGACCCGAACCCGACCCGACACGAATGACCTGGGGTTGTCCCAAATTGCTAGTTTTCAGGTCAAAATTGGGTCAATCTTCGATTTTCGAGTCAAAATGGATCAAAAACTGGTCGATCTCAGATTTTCAGGTCAAATACGAGTTTTCGTGTCAATTTCAGATTGCTGGGTCAACCCAAACCCGACCCATTTCGGGTTCAGGTTGACCCTAACCCGGATTTTTCCGGGTCATGTTTGGGTTGGGTTTCGATTCGTGTCAAAAATTGACACCCCTATACTCAGCCCTTTTAACGTATTTACTCATTTGCATTTATCTAGAAGTGTAAAGCCACTCATCCACCTAAGCATCCTCATCTCTGCAACACTTAACTCTCTTTTAATTGCTGATGGATTAAATTGGAGAAATATGATTCTAGGACTCAATTGGCCACACATGCATAATCATGGGATTATTTTAAAATTTAATCTAACAAATCATATTCTTTAAATGAAACAAACAAATTGTATTTTAAGCATATTGTTAAAGAAATAATTATAATTATCCAAGAATTTCAACAAGATTTTGGAAGCAAATAAAATAAGCAATCAAAGAAATTAATTTTCATAAAATTATACTTTCAATTTATCACTTTTGACCAAAATTAATGAAACTAAACTAGACAATAATGAAATAAAATAGAAAAAGAATAATATTATCAAAATAAATAAAAATTAGCCCACATATGAGTCCATTGAGATAATTATATTGCACATTTGTACCGTGTAAATGAATCACATTATCAAAAACTAGAAGAGATTTTATTCAAACAAAAAAATTTGAATTACATATCCCAAACAACTATTTATAGATTATTGATAATCTAGGCTAGTAGATATTAGGGGTGTTAATATTTGACACGACCCGAAAACCCGATTCGAACCCGATTCGAACCCGACCAGAAAATTTTGGGTTAGGGTCAACCAGACCCGAAACGTGTCGATTATGGGTTCAACAATTCAACCGGTTTCCAAAACCGGGTCGGGTTCGGGTTGACCATTTCACCCAAAATTGGCCCGTTTTTTACCCGAAAACCCAAGATTGACCTTTGACCCAAAAAGTGG